TTGTGTATGCATTCTTTTATAGATAGATAGGTAATTTATTTACATTATTTACAGCACACAAATTACAATAAAAAAACATACACATAATACACAGTAAAAGAGATAAAAGGATGAAAATAAAAAAACAACAAAACAAAAAAAAAAAAGCAAAATATATAAGCCAATAATTTCCTTTCTTTCCTTTCCTTCATGTGTGTGCCATAGTAACACAAAATGGTCACAACTCAATTTATTGCTTTTATCTCTTTTAACTGCATATGTCTGTATTATATGTATGTTTATATTGTTATTTGCGTGTACATATTATCTAATCTTTAATAAAATACCTACATTATCTAATCTAGGCAATGATTTATACTAGGTTTTTCGCCGCAACTTTGTCCGCGTGTCCAGAATATGCTTATGGACCCCAGTTCAAATTTTACTATCCCTAAAACCAGTAGTCTAACTAAATTGCCCACCTCCATACAGCCTTAGCTCATTTCACAACAGGTTCAAATGTTAAGGCGCCAGGAGGTAATAAGCAAATAGTGAAACAAAATTTAATAGAAATTTAAATATATTAATTCCATTAAAAATCAATAATTGATATGAAAATTCAAAGTCAAATATGGACAAGGAAGTGGACAAGTTGGTTGTTACTTTTACCATGACGGCGATACTGGTAGTCGATTGTCTTTGATTGTTCCGTCTGACTCCGTATAACTGTCGTGAGCATACTTATTACGTACGAGTATTAGCTATTTTTCGCGGCTTTATCTGCGTGAATCAGTAGATAACTAGATTGCCAGGGGGAAAGGGATTGTTAGTAATGAGGTCTAATAGCTCCATTGCTAATAATATATCCTCTTAGGCCGACCTCCACGCGATTCCCCCTGGAAACCATCATGGTTAATTCTTGTCGAATTCATCATGGTGGGCCAAGTGACCTGCATTCATTCTCACCTATCTTCCACTGGTGCTTCGTCGGTGTATACCGATAGCGCGGGCGGGGACTTTTACCCAAACACAAAATTGTATCATTTTTTTTTCTACATTTTATATATTTACGTTTATATATTCCTCTACATTTTATATATTCCTTCCGTTTTTACCTTCTCCTTCTTAAAAAAAGTCTTAACTAACTTAAGTCACCCAAGTGCCATCCTTTGTTTTGTTACCTTCATTTATAAATTTTATTGTATTTACATACGTCTATCGAGTTTACAAGTACCAAAACCATTATTCACAATTCCAAAAACATTTACCCAAATTATTCGAATCCCAATTCACTTTTCTCCAAAAACTTCTAGAATTTCATTTCTCCAAAATTTCGCGAACAAAAATATTGTTACTCGAAATTGCGAAATAAATACCAAATTTGGCAACGCTGCATATAACCTGTGTATTAAATTTAATAGTTATTGTGTGAAAGAATATCAAACATTCATCCATCATCATTCCTCCATCGTCTGTCCTTACAAACATTTATATATTAATATTATTTGTATTTTATGTACTTTTTTTTTATAACACATTGCGATTTGTTAATCGTTGTTGGGTGCCCACGGTACAGGTTCGCCTAGTGTGCGACCCATTGTATTTTGTATTTGTAACTTTGTGTTTTTGTCAAATAATAATAAATAAAAAAAAAAGTATTTGTAAAATTAATTTTAAGGTGATTTATTAAAATCATCATTATACACATAAATCATATAGAAGTCATAGAAATATACATATTAACAGATCTATGTATTTCGATGATTACTAAATGGAATACATATTTAATAAAAAATACATATTTCTTCCCAATTATGTTTAAAATATTAAATTAAAATTGCATTACTTTTACGCAATATTTACCATATCAGTGGAAATGGGAATCCGATAAATGTATCTGAATTACTTATTATTGCACAATATGTGAAATTATTGTGCAATATATTCACTGATATAAACGCTAGTTCTGGCAAATGTTTTTCATTCGAGCCTGCGGTATCGGGAACACTAGTCGTCGTTTGTATCAAGTGAAATCTAAAATTTAAAAGTTCAGTATAATTCTGTGTTTCAGGTCATCGGTCGAGTATTTTTAGTCGCGAAGACACAACAATGGAGGCGTTGCTTGTCGCTAAAATTGGCGACATCGAATCTTTGATTGGGAAAGGTGAGATTTATATTGCCGAAGCTGATTCCGAACTCAGAAACGCAATTGAATCAAGAGAGCAGTGTTGTGAAAGAAGTAGGGATTGTTCTCGTTCCAGAGGCCGTTATAGATGCGAAGGTGGAGGTGTTGCCAGAAGGAGGTCCAGAAATTGTGATATAGGGAGAACTCGAGGCAAGTCCAGAAGGAGATCCAGAGGCAGGTCCAGAGGGAGATCCAGAGGCAGGTCCAGAGGGAGATCTCGAGATAGGTCTAGAGGAAAATCCAGAGATCGTTCCAGAGATAGGTCTAGAGGAAGATCCAGAGGAAGATCTAGAGACAGGTCCAGAGGGAGGTCTAGAGACAGGTCCAGAGGAAGATCCAGAGATCGTTCTAGAGGTAGGTCTAGAGGAAGATCCAGAGAAAAATCCAGAGGAAATTCTAGAGACAGGTCGAGAGGAAGATCCAGAGAGGGGTCCAGTGGCAAATCTGGATGTTGTTCAAAAGATATGTCCAGGAATATGTCTAAAACTCCTTTTGAATGGAGATCCAAAGGAAATAAAATAATAATATTATAACATCATCAAGGATTTTCTATAATCACAATTATTAATAATCTAGATTTTAGTTTCATTTATCGTAGAAATAAAAATTAAATTGTCTATGAATAATGTAGTCTATGAATAATGTTTATTATATCTTGGGTATTATGTAATGGATTAAATATTGGTGATAGCAATTACATTTTATTAATTAAATGATTGTAATAATAATCATATATTTTTATGTTTTTATTCTTTTCCGACGCCACAGATGGCGGATTAGAGATTGGAACATCTATAATCTAAGAGTACATCTTTACATTCCCACAGAATGTCGTAAGAGATAAGTAAGGGTATAAAATAGAAAAGAATTGTTAGTAAAAGGGACTAGCAGCCCCATTATTAACAGGTCGACCTCCTAGGAAACCATTGTGATTAATTGTTGATGAAATAGTCACGATGACATTCTTTCATTTTTACTTATCAACACTTACTGGTAGGTACCTTGCTAGCGTATATCGATAGCGCAGGCGCAGAGTTACTGTTTCACTTTTATCCACTAAATAAAGTATCTGCAGTATTTAATATGTACCTACACAATAGTAGCAGAATTAAATTTTATCTTTCAAATATATATTTAGAGATTTATCGAGAAAGAATGAATGGAGTTCGCTTGCCGTTTACGGGTACTTTTAATTTGGCCCTTCTTCAGCACGTCGCCTATTTGGTCTATACGCCTATACGTCCGTCTAGGGCGGCCCCTACCGACATCTCCATTCATTCATAATATGACGTTAATCATAAATAATATTACTATAGAATTTTTATCTGTCTGTATGCTTGTTCTAGTATCATGCAAAAACTACCTAATTAGATGCGGTTTTCAAAATCAGGTGTATGGTTTTATTTTGATACGCCATTGGACATTTCATTGTTTTTTTTTATGTATGATAATGGAATGGTAACCCGGTCTGCGCTATCGATGTACACCGGCGGGGCACCAGTGACAGATGGTAAGTGAAAATGAAAGAGTAGGTCATTTAACCCATCGTGATAAATACACCTGGAATTCAGCCTGATGGTTTCCAGAGAGGACCACGTGGAGGTCGACCTGACGGGGTATATTGCTAGCAATGGGGCTGGAAGTCCGAATTACTAACAATACCTCCCACCCATTTCATTGGTTTTACTACTTCTGAAACCATGCGTACGGATTTTTTTTTTTAATTTTAATTGGATTTACATTCTTCAGGTTTATCAGTCCTATTGTACCCCAAATTGATTTCTCAGATAAAGTATGGGCAAAAAGCTAGTCGAGAATGTTATTGAGACGTAAAATATTGAATCGTTTGTTTCCATCGTTTCGTATGACTGCACAGTATTATAACCGTGCAATTGAATAATATTTAACAATAGGTATAATACAATAATATGGGCATACATATTTTTCCTATGAGAATAGTAAATATTCAAGTAAGTAACGAAATAATTAAAAATTTTGCTCCACAAATAAAAAACGCTGGCGTCAACTGTGACCTAACAACCAGTTGCTTTGAGTTAATTACTGAAGAGACTGTACAAAAGTCGTTTGCTTGGGCACCTCTGTCCTATTCGTGTTTCTACTGTGAAGCAGTCATGTTTGTATGGCTGTGTTTCGGTTTGAAGGGAGTGAATTTACAGGGTACAGAGGAATAACACCTGAGTCTTTAGAAATGGTAACGCATCATGGGCAAAACAGTGTACTCTGTTATGTCCATGATACTGCTCATGTCTATAGGCGACGGTTACCACTTTCTATCAGGTGGGCCGTCAGCTCGTTTGCTATAGTTGCATAAAAAAAGGAAAATTTCTATGAGACTAACTTGAAATAATTGTGAGATAAGAAATAAAAAAAAAATACAACCGGATTGAAAATCTCTTTTTTTTAAGTTAGTTGAAAATTGAATAACGTAACATAATCTTTAATGCTTATAGAGTTACATAATAATATTACATACATATCACTACACACCTGGAAGCTTAAAGATTTGGACAACTGAACACAAAGTTAGCATCGAGACCCTTCGAGATTTATTTAAACAATGGGACGCACAGCGCTTTAAAAATTCTAGAAGATGGATGCAGACAGCCGAAGCGCCTTATCCGGGATACTGTCGAGCGCCTGGAAGAAGTGAATGCATACCTGCGCTTTGCAATTGTGAAAAACTCTTAGAGATGTGGATAAAATCTAAAGGAGACAAGAAACGGGAAAATGAATTGAAAAAACCTAAAACAAAACATACTGGCAATCAGAAATTTCTATCAACTCTACCAAATAATTAATATAAAAATAATAAGTTCTCATAATATGACTTTTAATGTTTAATGATTTTAAAAAATTTTTTGATAGTCATTATAAAATTTTACACAATTTCCTAATAATGAATTACCAATATTTTTCGATCATTATAATAATTTTATACATACTGTCACACCATAGCCATCGTTCTCAACTATTAGATGATGGAATGTATTAGATTTAGGAATGTATTAGAGCATCTATTTAGGAGTGTATATAAATATGTGGCCTATTCTATTTCGGTCTCGACATATCATCAGACTGTAGAAGAGGTTCAAGTTTCTCGGATGTAAGTATATATTTTATGTAAATATTTACATCTAGATCTTTAGCGCGTTATAATGCTTGTCTATAGTTTAGGGAAAGTCTAAAGATTAATTACGGTTTTTACTTTCCATCAGATGTCAACTGTCCATCAGATGGGCCATCAGCTTGTTTGCCATCGTACTCTCAGAGGGAAGTCAAAAGTCCTTAGAACTAGTCTGCAAGCATTCGATAATTTGGAGATGTAGACGAATTATGACTTATAGGTATTATTATAGTATTTATGTTTGTACTTTAAAGGATTTGGGTTCTAGATACGTTTTTATTAATACAATTGGTTTTTCTAGTTATCAATTTAATGAGTGTATTTATTGACATAAGATATAATATTAACATTAGGCGAAATCCTATATATACGAGTACCATATAGTTCTGTTAAAGTTTTCTTTTGTTTTGTTTTATTTTTAACATTTGTTGTAATATCTTATACTTGTAAATCATTTAGGATTTATAATTTAAAGGAAATTAGGAGATTACAATAAAATACATATTAAGTACTTCCATAATTATTTATTCGATGTCTCCCATGGTGACTTTTTCATTTCGCATTACCTTCACTAAAGTAATAATTTTTGGCACAATATTTGGCATTTATAAGAAATTGACTACAATACTGAATATTCGGTGATATTGTGATTATCTGGAAATTCGTGAGTAATATTATGTTGTTATTTATAATTTTGCAGGGAACTCCTTTAAATATTTATACTTTGATAACGTTCAAGTAACGCATCGATGCAACAAACTTTTATATTGTTTATATGTTTAAAAGCAAATAAATTGGACAATATAACATTTCGTGTACTAAACCCAACATGGCTGTATTATTTCTATTATATTTTAGTCAACAAGTTAGAATTATAAATTAGAATGGCTAATTTGAGATTAGCCAAGCCTTTTGGTTTAGCGTCACGGTTATCAACTAATATTCATACAAACACAACATAATTTCAACATTTCGTAATCATCTAGCACAAGGTAACGAATCAGATACAACAAAATTTTCTCCTCATTATATTTCGATTGAATCTAGACATAGACTTTAGAATTTTGGCCCATTTGGTCCTTATCGGCCGTTAATTTTAGTATTAAGATTAGCATTTTAGAAAACAACGGCCAATTTGCACTAATTACACTATGCCACTGAACGTGGTCTAGACTCTAACTACTCGATCCTAGTTTATAACACTTTACTTCTCCATTTAAAGAAACAAAAGCATTATGAACATTCGCTCGTTTTTAAAACACAAGCCCCAACTTTGTTACTCTTATCCAAAGCATACTTGCACGAGAAATGCATCGGAAAGTTCACGAAATGAATAATCCATTATTATACAAGTAGTTTTAATTAAAGTAACTTACTCGCTCAAAGAATGCTCGGCAACATAACATAAAATGTCTTTTGGCACGCAAAGTGTTTTTGGTTTGTCCAAACCATAGAAATCTGTACGAAAGTGAGTAATCCATAATGGTTTAGGAAACATTTTATTTTCCAACTAGAATAATTTCTCAATAACTACTACTCTACTTTACATATTATTTATGTATTATCCATTAGTTATTGCTTCTATAATTGTTATTTGGTCTGTCGAATCTTTTGTGAGAAATTGTGTAAAAAAGATAAAGTCGTGTGCATTAATCTGTGTGCTTACATTCGATTTATATCTAGAATAGAAAAAAGAAAGCAGTTTTAATTAATCACTACGAGCAGCAAAACTATGAGTAAAATATTTCTAAAAGTTGAACACTAGTAACTCTAACGGGATAGCCGTCATCGCTGACATTTTAAAGGCCTTCGATAGGATTCATCCTGAGATCACGTTCTTAAAGATTAAGTACAAACTATTATTGCGTGTTTAGAATTGCACTGTTACGATTCTTACGATTACAGATAGTATCGCATTAAGAAGTCTTTGATACACTCCGTAGTATGTCCATATTAGGCGTGGGGTGCCTCAGGGCAGCCGACTGGGTCCGTTTGTCGCGTTTCCGAAACAGACAAAGAGTTTTTCTTCCTCGACATTTATACACACTTGTTTAGTGGTATCGAGCGAAACTCAAACGGGCGGGTCCATGTCGCGCTGCAACGACGTCAGTCACGTGTGGAATACCCACCCGGGGATCGGAGGTCACGCGTCCGGCACACCGTGGATATGATGCTGGTAGTTGTGATTCAGTTTGTTGGCAAATTCGTGCATTATATCCCTGAATATCACCGAGTCCAGATTCTCTCCGAGTATATACAGTAAATACCAGTCGCCCATCTTGCTTCTCCTCACTATAGTGTCGACATTGTCGCGTCTGACAAGTCTGAACCTCATGCGCATCATGTAGACCCGCATTCGCGGGGAGAATATAATGACGAGCCTGTACAGCAAGGTGATGAAGGTGAGGAAGCCGAGGATGAGGAACCAGAACCAGAGGAAGATGTAGATCTTTTCGTTGACGACGTTGAGCGGCAGGATGCAGAGCGCGTCGTGTCGCTCGACTTCGCCCGACGAGCCGAATTTGTTGAATAGTGTGCATTTCACCATTCTGTAATGGGTGAAATATATAGAGTTAATTTGTACCCTGGTGAATAGTGCCTCCTGACGTCCATTTAAAGTATTAAAAGTACTAAAAAAATATACTTTCTTATTAACATAGGTTATTTTATATTAGGCTACTGCACTTCTCAGCTGTTTTGGCTTAGTGTGTTTCTAGTTGTACCACGGAAGCAATATTTTTATTTTATGCAATTTAGAATGTCAAACAAGCTGACGGTTCACTTGATGGAAAGTGATAACCGTCGCCTATAGACATGCGCAATACTATGGGCATAACAGAGTATACTGTGACGCCCATAATACTGATCATCCTGAGCATTAAAATGCTGTACCTTGTAATTTCACTGTCATATGGTTTGAAGGGTGGGACTCTTCAAACCGAAATACAGCCATACAAACATACTGCTTCACGGTAGAAAGACGAATGAGACAAAGGTATCGAAGCAGACGATTTTTGAATAAAAAAATAAACTACTTTCAGTTTCAATCTATTAGTTTGAATCCTAACACATAAATCGAGCTATCAGAAGATTTTTCAACCAACTGTAGAGCTACTGTTATATAAAAACATTTTAAAATACTGAAAAATTCTTAATAAAAAAAGAAAATCTAACAATTTTATAAAATTTTATAGCTTTTTTGGAACATTTTGATTAAAAATTTGGAAAACATCTTTATCAATATTTTACCTTGGAAATATGTAAATCATGGGGTCGACACGGTCCTCCTGGTCGGACTCCATATATGCGATCACGTCCAGCCCGAACGTCATGAACTCGCCGTCGAAAAACCGGTTCATCAGGAACATTTGCCCTGGAAGTCAATATTTATTTATTAATATTTCATTACATAACAAGAGTACACATGGCGGACATAACTTCTACTTCAAATCCTTTCAAGCAAGAAGTTCGTTTGTGGAACTCCCTTTCTACCTCTTTATGGTGCGCTCAGTCTCTGGCTAGTTTTAAAAACTTAGTTAAATCCCACTACCTATCCTTATAATTACTTCCTCTTTATTTCCTACGAGAATTATATGTTTTTTATGGGAGATAATGGAATGGTAACCCCACCCGCGCTATATATATATATATATATATATATATATATATATATATATATATATATATATATATATATATATATATATGTAAATGTATATTGCTGGAAACAAAGTCACTAGTTCTTGTTACAGGTAATTACTGGTATACACATAGTATATGGGATGTAGATCCTTCTACTACTACTAAAGGCTACTTTTTATCCCGGTCAGTAAACATATACCGATCATACGGACAAAGTCGCGTGTAAAAGCTAGTTTTATTGTATATTTTTTAATGGATGATAAAGGAATGGTAACCCCGCCCGCGCTAACGGTATACGCTGGCGGGGCACCAGTGAGGGATAATAGGTGAGGATGAAAAGGCAGGTCAGTTAACCCATCGTGATGAATAATGGAATTCAGCGCGATGGTTTCCAGAGGAGACTACGTGGAGGTCGACCTGACAGGGTATATTGCTAGCAATCTCTCCCTTCTAATTTTATCATATTGGTAAGACAACATAGATAGAAAGAGATCGAGACTGAAGGAAAACTAATCAAGTATGTAGTTAGTGTTTACTGATTCCGCGACGTTCTAACGACGTGGGCACAAGTTTATTATTCCGCGGGTATACGCAACTTCCGGTCGCGTTTCCAATAACAAAAAAACCGGGTGCGTTCACTGCCATCGAAATCTGCTGTCTCTGCTGGCCTTGCTTGTGTATGGCCAGGAAAAAAGCGGGCATCTGTTTTTTTATACAACTTAGAATGGCAAACAAGCTGACGGCCTGATGGAAATCTGATGGAAAGTGGTAACCTATAGACATGAGCAGTACCATGGACATAACAGAGTATACTGTTTCGCTCATGATAACCCCCATGCGTTGCCATTCCTGAGGACCCAGGTGTTATTTCTCTGTACCCTGTAAATTCACGCCATATCCTACCCTTCCTACCGAAACACAGCCATGCGAACACAACTGCTTTACGGTTGAAACACGAATGGAACAGAGATACCCAAGCAAACGACTTTTGTACAAAGTTTCCCTCTGGATTAAAAAAAGGAAAAATAAGAAAAGAGACCGAATAGAGAATCTCTTTTTGAAGTCATTTGGAAATAAAAATAACTGCAAAAATTATCGCTTAATAAATAGTCAATACAAAACCTTTATAGCAGCTATTTGTTTAGGTCAAGAACTTCAGTAAAAAAAACCTTAAAAAATTGGTAACTGTGCCAAGTAGAAATAAAAAAAACAGTTCATACGTGTGTTCGTATGTAACTTAGTAGCAAGGATTACATCTGCACGCTCAATTTATGGCCATACAGGCGCGTAAACATTTTTTTTTACTGAAATATCAGCGGAACATCTGTCGCGTGCCCGCTCTGAATCGCCAACTAGCCCCGTCGTCGACCGCCCATTGTAAATCACAACATATTGAATTAAAAAGAAACATAAAAACAACTATTAGAACAAGTTCTAATATATACATTTATTGGTTATGTGTGTGGTAGAAATGTTTTTTTTTAATGGGTGAAAATGGAATGGTAACCCCGCCCGCGCTATCGGTATACACCGACGAGGCACCAGTGGAAGATGATAGGTGAGAATGAATGCAGGTCAGTTGGCCCACCATGATGAATTCGACAAGAATTAAACATGGTTTCCAGGGGGAACCACGTGGAAGTCGACCTGAGAGGGTATATTGCTAGTAATGGATTTATTTTACATTACTAGCAATATACCAGAGGGAGACTTTGTACAAAAGTCGATTGCTTGGGTACCTCTATAATTATTAAAATATTGAATAAAATATTAATGAAACAAAATGTCATCTACCACAATATGCAATAGGTGATGAACGCAGTTCAGTATCGAAAGATGCACCCTGTCACACTGACGACATTTCTAGACGTTTCTATTTTAGCGAATCTCTCCGTTTAACTAAAATTGAATATCCTGCGAGGCGGGGACGGTAACTGTATGTACAGTCAACATCAAATTTTGATGAACAAATGTTTATCAAAATTTGTACGAATAAATATTCGTACACATCTTTAAAATCCGCAAAAACTATCAGTTGTTTAACTACATTAATGTAGAATTTGAGCGAACAACGTAAAAGCGTCTAATTTGTTGAATACATTAGTTCTTATATATATATATATATATATATATATATATATATATATATATATATATATATATATATATATATATATATATATATATATATATATATATATATATATATATATTAAATATATGAATGAATAAATGGTTTATTTTCTCTTTACAAAAAGTAATACAAAGAAACAACTTGAGATACAATTATATATGTAAGACCAATTTTGTAAGAGACTGGTGCCTGCAGTAGGTTTTGAACAGACCTGGGTTACGAGTCACCAGTGCCCCATCTCCGTGGACTACACAAATACAAGGCTACCAATTAGTATTATGATATACAGATAAAACAATAAAGAGATATAAATATATAAATAATATAATAAACTTACTTGACATTAAAACACTTATTAGAATTATAACTTAGGTAAATTTATTTATTAAGTTTAATTATGACCATATCACCTTATTGTGCCATATTTTAACAATAAATTTCATTCGTTCATTCATTCATTCACCTCTATTGAAATAGGTTATAGCGGTGTATAATCTGAAGTGTTCATCTATTATTGACGCCGACTGTACTATGTAGTCGAACGAGCGACGCAACCATTTCGCTGTTGTGCGACAAAATAGAAAACAAGCTATTGTCATTCTATTTGGAATTGAGTATATAACACTTGCTTTTACCCGCGACTTCGGCCGCGTGAACAGGATATGTTTATTCACCAGGATATAAAGTAGCCTTTATCTTTCTTCATCTCGTATAGTGTCTACCATATTTCATAGTAGGTGGGGGGGGGGGGGGGGGAGGATTATTAGTATCCCGGACTACCAGTCTCATTGGCGAGAGGCACGATAGTAAAAAGGTGACGATGGCAAATAGAGGTACATTATAATTAAACATACAAAACTTTGAACATTCATTTATATCATTGTATTGATTGATGATATTGGTATTGATACGTCCGAGTGTCTAGTGTCTGAGTGTCTGAGTGTCTAGTGTCCAGTGTCTGAGTGTCTAGTGACTTAGCGTCCAGTGTCTGAGTGTCTAGTGTACGAGTGTCTAGTGTCCGAGTGTCTAGTGTCCGAGTGTCTAGTGTCCGAGTGTCTAGTGTCTGCATGTCTGAGTGTCTGAGTGTCTGACAGTCCTAGACTATGTCTGAGTGTCTAATGTCTGAGTGTCTGTCCAGTGTCTGAGTGTCTGAGTGTCTAGTGTCTAGTGTCTGAGTGTTTAGTGTCCAGTGTCTCAGAGCCTAGTGTCTGAGTGTCTAGTGTCCAGTGTCTGAGAGTCTAGTGTCTGAGTGTCTAGTGTCCAGTGTCTGAGTGTCTATTGTCTGAGTGTCTAGTGTCTAGTGTCTGAGTGTCTAGTGTCTGAGTGTCCAGTGTCTGAGTGTCTAGTGTCTGAATGTCCAGTGTCTGAGTGTCTAGTGTCTGAGTGTCTAGTGTCTGAGTGTCTAGTGTCTGAGTGTCTAGTGTCTAGTGTCTGAATGTCTAGTGTCTGAGTGTCCAGTGTCTGAGTGTCTAGTGTCTGAATGTCCAGTGTCTGAGTGTCTAGTGTCTGAGTGTCTAGTGTCTGAGAGTCTAGTGTCTGAGTGTCTAGTGTCAGAGTGTCTTGTGTCCGAGTGTCTGAGTGTCTGAGTGTCTGAGTGTCTAGTGTCTGAGTGTCTAGTGTCTAGTGTCCAGTGTCTGAGAGTCTAGTGTCTAGTGTCTGTGTGTCTAGTGTCTGAGTGTCTAGTGTCTGAGAGTCTAGTGTCTGAGTGTCTAGTGTCTGAGTGTTTAGTGTTCAGTGTCTGAGTGTCTAGTCTCTGAGTGTCTAGTGTCTGAGTGTCTAGTGTCCAGTGTCCGAGTGTATAGTGTCTGAGTGTCTAGTGTCTGAGTGTCTAGTGTCTGAGTGTCTAGTGTCTGAGTGTCTAGTGTCTGAGTGTCTAGTGTCCAGTGTCTGAGAGTCTAGTGTCTAGTGTCCGAGTGTCTAGTGTCTAGTGTCTGAGTGTCTAGTGTCTGAGTGTCTAGTGTCTGAGTGTCTAGTGTCTGAGTGTCTGAGAGTCTAGTGTCTGAGTGTCTGAGAGTCTAGTGTCTGAGTGTCTAGTGTCTGAGTGTCTAGTGTCTGAGTGTCTAGTGTCTGAGTGTCTAGTGTCTGAGTGTCTGAGTCCGAGTGTCTAGTGTCTGAGTGTCTGAGTGTCTAGTGTCTGAGTGTCTAGTGTCTGAGTGTCTAGTGTCTGTGTGTCGAGTGTCTAGTGTCGGAGTGTCTAGTGTCTGAGAGTCTAGTGTCTAGTGTCGAGTGTCTAGTGTCTAGTGTCTGAGTGTCTGAGTGTCTAGTGTCCGAGTGTCCAGTGTCTGAGTGTCTGAGTGTCCAGTGTCCGAGTGTCTAGTGTCTAGTGTCTAGTGTCTAGTGTCTAGTGTCTAGTGTCTAGTGTCTAGTGTCTAGTGTCTAGTGTCTAGTGTCTTGTGTCTAGTGTCTAGTGTCTAGTGTCTACTGTCTGAGTGTCTAGTGTCTGAGTGTCTAGTGTCTGAGTGTCGAGTGTCTAAGTGTCTTGTGTCCGAGTGTCTAGTGTCTGAGTGTCTAGTGTCTGAGTGTCTAGTGTCTGAGTGTCTGAGAGTCTAGTGTCTGAGTGTCTGAGAGTCTAGTGTCTGAGTGTCTAGTGTCTGAGTGTCTAGTGTCTGAGTGTCTGAGAGTCTAGTGTCTGAGTGTCTAGTGTCTGAGTGTCCAGTGTCTGAGTGTCTAGTGTCTAGGGTCTGAGTGTCTGAGTGTCTAGTGTCCGAGTGTCCAGTGTCTGAGTGTCTGAGGTCTAGTGTCTGTCTGTGTCTGAGTGTCTAGTGTCTGAGTGTCTAGTGTCTAGTGTCTAGTGTCTGAGTGTCTAGTGTCTGAGTGTCTAGTGTCTAGTGTCTGTGTCTAGTGTCTAGTGTCTTGTGTCTAGTGTCTAGTGTCTAGTGTCTAGTGTCTGAGTGTCTGAGTGTCTGAGTGTCCAGTGTCTGTCTGAGTGTCTGAGTGTCTAGTGTCTAGTGTCTTGTGTCTAGTGTCTAGTGTCTGAGTGTCTGAGTGTCTTGTGTCTGAGTGTCTGAGTGTCTGAGTGTCTGAGTGTCTGAGTGTCTGAGTGTCTGAGTGTGAGTGTCTGAGTGTCTGAGTGTCTGACAGTCTAGTGTCTGAGTGTCTGTCCAGTGTCTGAGTGTCTAGTGTCTGAGTGTCTAGTGTCTGAGTGTCTGAGTGTCTGAGTGTCTGAGTGTCTAGTGTCTGAGTGTCTTGTGTCTGAGTGTCTAGTGTCTGAGTGTCTAGTGTCTGAGTGTCTAGTGTCTGAGTGTCTGAGTGTCTGAGTGTCTGAGTCGAGTGTCACTGTCTGAACACTAGTGTCTGAGACATGTCAGACACTGAGACACTCAGACACTAGACACTAGACACTCAGACATTCAGACACTCAGACACTCGGACAATAGACACTCAGACATTAGACATTCAGACATTAGACACTCAGACACTGGACACTCAGACACTGGACACTAGACACTCAGACGCTAGACACTTGGACACTGGACACTAGACACTCAGACACTAGACACTCAGAGACTAGACACTCAGACACTGAACACTAAACACTCAGACACTAGACACTCAGACACTAGACTCTCAGACACTAGACACTCAGACACTAGACACACAGACACTAGACACTAGACTCTCAGACACTGGACACTAGACACTCAGACACTAGACACTCAGACACTCAGACACTCAGACACTCAGACACTCAGACACTCAGACTCTCAGACACTAGACACATTGACACTAGACTCTCAGACACTAGACACTCAAACACTAGACACACAGACACTAGACACTCAGACACTAGACTCTCAGACACTGGACACTGGACACTCAGACACTAGACACTCAGACAATAGACACTCAGACACTAGACACTCAGACACTAGACACTAGACACTCAGACACTAGACTCTCAGACACTGGACACTAGACACTCAAACACTAGACACTCAGACACTAGACACTCAGACACTGGACACTCAGACACTGGACACTAGACACTCAGACACTAGACACTCAGACACTAGACACTCAGATACTAGACACTCAGACACTAGACACTCAGATACTAGACACTCAGACACTAGGCTCACTGACACTAGACATATTGACACTTGACTCTCTGACACTAGACACTCAGACACTAGACACTCAGACACTAGACACTAGACACTCAGACACTAGACACTCAGACACTAGACACACAGACACTAGACACTCAGACACTAGACACTTAGACACTGGACACTCAGACAATAGACACTCAGACACTAGACCTTCAGACACTGGACACTCAGACACTGGACACTCAGACACTAGACACTCAGACACTAGACACTCAGACACTAGACATTCAGACATTCAGACATTAGACACTCAGACACTGGACACTCAGACACTGGACACTAGACACTCAGACACTAGACACTCAGACACTAGACACTCAGACACTAGACACTCAGACACTAGACTCTCAGACACTAGACATTCAGACACTAGACACTCAGACACTGGACATTCAGACACTAGACACTCAGACAGTAGACACTAGACACTAGACACTAGACACTAGACACTAGACACTAGACACTAGACACAAGACACTAGACACTAGACACTGAACACTAGACACTAGACACTCAGACACTAGACACTAGACACTCAGACACTAGACTCTCAGACACTGGACACTAGACAGACACTAGACACTCAGACACTAGACACTCAACACTCGACACTCGGCACTCAGATACTAAACACTAGACACTAGACACTCAGACATCCAGACACTAGACACTCAGACACTGGACACTAGACACTCAGACACTAGACACTCAGACACTAGACACACTAGACATAGACACTCAGACACTAGACACTCAGACACTAGACACTCATACACTAGAAACTAGACAGACACTCAGACACTAGACACACAGACACTAGACACTCAGACACTAGACACTAGACACTAGACACTCAGACAATAGACACTCAGACACTAGACACTCAGACACTAGACACTCAGACACTAGACACTCAGACACTTGACACTCAGACACTAGACACTAGACACTAGACACTCGACACTAGACACTAGACACTGGACAATCAGACACTCAGACACTAGACACTAGACACTAGACACTAGACACTAGACACTCAGACACTCAGACACTCAGACACTCAGACACTCAGACACTAGACACTAGACACTAGACACAAGACACTAGACACTAGACACTCAGACATCCAGACACTGGACACTCAGACACTGGACACTAGACACTCAGACACTAGATACTCAGACACTAGACTCTCAGACACTGGACACTAGACACTCAGACACTGGATACTAAACACTGGACACTAGACACTCAGACACTAGACACTCGAACACTGGACACTAGACACTCAGAGACTAGACACTCAGACACTCGGACACTGGACACTAGACACTCAGACACTAGACACTCAGAGACTAGACACTCAGACACTAGGCTCACTGACACTAGACATATTGACACTTGACTCTCTGACACTAGACACTCAGACACTAGACACTGGACACTAGACACTCAGACACTAGACACTCAGACACTAGACTCTCAGACACTGGACACTGGACACTCAGACACTAGACACTCAGACACTAGACACTCAGACACTAGACACTGGACACTCAGACACTGGACACTAGACACTCAGACACTGGACACTAGACACTCAGACACTAGACACTCATAGACTAGACACTCAGACACTAGACTCTCAGACACTGGACACTGACACTCAGATACTAGACACTCAGACACAGACACTTACACTAGACACTGGACACTCAGACACTGGACACTAGACACTCAGACACTAGACACTCATAGACTAGACACTCAGACACTAGACTCTCAGACACTGGACACTAGACACTCAGACACTAGACTCTCAGACACTGGACACTAGACACTCAGATACTAGACACTCGGACACAAGACACTTAGACACTCGACACTCAGACACTAGACACTCAGACACTAGACACTCAGACACTAGACATTCAGACATTAGACACTCAGACACTGGACACTCAGACACTGGACACTAGACACTCAGACACTATATACGAAAAGTACGACACTATATATGAAAAGTTATTTATATTTCCTGGTTCCTGTTAGTTATTTATATGTATATAGAATACTAATAAAAAAAAGGGTCAGCTAATTTGACAATTAGCTGATAAAAATTAACCTGTTTTTTTTAGGTTCGACACTCTTTTTATACAATCTAATGGAGAATTATATACACGAATGGAACTTACCTATAACATTGACAAGAGCAAGCCCCTCGCAAAGGTAGTACCTGTAGGCCCACCAGTTGTGGTACCTCAGGTTCTCCCAAAGGTAGTCGAGGATCAGCTTCTTCTTCGTCTTCTTCTCTATCTCGGTGCACACCCCCACGTCCAGGTCCATCATGAGGGCGCGTATCTTGCCCCCCTCCCACGACTTCCACAGCCAGCGGGGGGCGTAGAATAACATTGCCTGTAACAATACGGTGATATATATTAAATATATGGATTTACTAAATTGTTAAAGCAATGCATATGCAACTTAGAATGGGAAACAAGCTGACGGATCACCTGATGGAAAGTAGTAACCGACGCCTATAGACATGAGCAGTACCATGGACATAACAGAGTATACTGTTTCGCCCATGAAACCACCCATGTGTTACCATTCGTGTGTATTAAGGGATCTAAGGTCCCGTGTGGTTTCGGCATAGAATAGGCATTTACTCCCTAATATTATTTTATTTATTTATATTTTATTGTACATACTGAAAATACATAAAAATACGACAAAAGTAAGATTTATTCCTAATTTTTTTATTTGACTAAATTATAACTAAAAAAAAAATTCGAAAAAAAGAACATATACTTGTTTCGTGAGCACTATATAATAATAGGTATATAAATTATATATATATATAATGTTTTTTTTCAATGTTCAGATAGGTATATTACCTGAATCTAGGCCGTGTTCTATACGCTACACGTTACCTATGTCCAATCAGCCGTGACTGACTAACACACGTCCAAACATTTCACCATGCTAACGTCAAAACAACTTCAGGAACTTTCCCATAATAATACGGAATACAGACTGAAAATAAATATATATATATATATATATATATATATATATATATATATATATATATATTTATTTTCAGTATATATATATATACTGAAATTATGCAGTAATTGTTCAACATTTATGTCGATGTATTTAGATCATATTGAACCGATTAATGAGGTCAAGCAACGTTTAATGCAACCATTCTTCGGATGGGTGGCTCTATATCAGTGTTTCCCAACCTTTTTTGTGCCATGTCCCACTTGAACATTTCGAAAATTTTTATGTCCCCATACATGATTTTTCCCCACAAAGTTTACTTGAACACTAATCGCCCAGTTGATATTTTAGTAATGTCAACCGAAATTATACCTAATAAATATGTACAGCGTTATTTTTAATTTACCTTTTTGTTAAATTTGGCACCGATATCTACTTCTAGTATTGCATTTAAATGACCCGGAGTAAGAGGGTTAAAATCAGTTCAAGTCCATTTTTTAATTCCCCACACTTAATAATTAAATTACCCCCCTGTGGGGTGTGGGCCCCACGTTGGGAAACACCGCTCTATATAATAGTAGATACGTTACCGGAATTCTTTTTTTACAATAGGTAGGATTTTGTTGATTTCGATATCTGATGGGGGGGGGGGGGGGGGGGATGGTCTTAGACCCCCCCCCCTAAATAGAGTGACGACCTCAAATAGATTTTAGGGAGTCAGTGGATGCAGGTGGCTCAGGATCATTTTTTATGGCAATCTATGAGGGATGCCTATGTTTAACAGTGGCCAGTAAATAGCCGAGATGATGATGATGATGAGATGATGATTATATGGGTAATTGTTACCAGAGGGAGACTTTGTACAAAAGTCGATTGCTTGGGTACCTCTGTCCCATTCGTGTTTCAACCGTGAAGCAGTTGTGTTTGCATGGCTGTGTTTCAGTTTGAAGGGTGGGGTATGGCGTGAATTTACAGGGTACAGAGGAATAACACCTGAGTCCTCAGGAATGGCAACGCATGGGGGGTATCATGACGACTTATCTGTGAGAGCCGTATACACCTTTAATTGATGTGTTCATATGGCCTTAAGCTTGGTAGTGAGGAGTGAGATGTTTTTGTTCTTACTTGAACAAAAACATCTTAGATTTAAGCATTTTTAATAGTAGTTTTTCACTTTTTACTTACTTATATCATTGTACATTGTCTGCTTAATTGTTGTGAGCATATTGTTGGTGTGTCTTTTATAAGTGAATAAATAGCATTCTCGGTGGCAGAAACACGAGTGGGACAGAGGTACCCAATACAAAGTCTGCCTCTGGACAAAAATCTAGCCAGAAAATATCAGATCCAGCAACTAGTAAACTATGTTTATGGCTGGCTATATATATATATATATATATATATATATATATATATATATATATATATATATATATATATATATATATATATATATATATATATATATATATATATATATATATATATATATATATATATATATATATATATATATATATATACATTTTTTACAGCGGAAACAAGAACCTCAATCCATTTGATGCGTGGGTAAGTTTTATTGAAGCCATAAAATTTGACAATAACTGCTGTAAAATCAACAAACAGATTTTACTTGATTTGACTTTTTAAAATAATGCTTCCCGCCACTGTAACAAGTGTGAGCGTTTGCTAAACCGAAAATGCATCCCATTGCAACGGAATAAAGTTCCAAATTGCAACTGCACCGAATCAGACGCCAATAAATTCGTCCGGCTAGACAGTATCGTAAACTTGCTATATGGACATAAACTATTATGAGCGCTTTCATCGGGGACGTTAAATAGTTATATATTTGAGCCGATGTATGAAATCAAATCGTCCGCAGATATCTTTATAGTGTAGGGTGGCCATGGCACATGCACGTGTTAAAAAGACTTTTTTTGATGATAAATTGACTTATGGATAGGAAGAACCTTATGGATAGGTTAGCAATGGAGCTTGACAGCCCCATTGCTAGCAATATGCCTTATTAGGTCGACCTTCACGTAGTTCCCTCTGGAAACCATCGTGAACAATTCCTGTTGAATTCGTCACGATGGGCTAACTGACCTACTTCGTCCTCACCTATCATGTTTCACTGGTGCCCCGCCGGTGTATACCGATAGCGCGGGTAGGGTTACCATTCCATTATAAAAAAAAACCTGAAGGACAGTGCTAATCATCGATTATAGATATGAACAGCACTATAAACGTCATAGGATATACTGTGATGCCCATCATACGTTGCCTTTATATATAATAATATATACTTTCGTGCTAATAAAATTAGTTCGTTAGTTACATTCTGAAAAAGACATCCTTTTCCATGGGTGTCGTAAAAGGCGACTAAAGGAATTAAATGATTGAAAGATGGGCAGCAGCGACTTTTTTATATTTTTTTATACAACTTATAATGGCAAACAAGCTGACAGCCCACTTGATGGAAAGTGGTAACCGTCGCCTATAAACATGAGCAGTATCATGGACATAATACTGTTTCGCCCATGATACCCACCATGCGTTGCCATTCCTGAGGACTCAGATGTTATTCCTCCGTACCCAGTAAATTCACGCCATATCCCACCCTTCAAACCGAAACACAGCCATGCAAACACAACTGCTTCACGGTTGAAATACGAATAGGACAGAGGTACCCAAGCGATCAACTTTTGTACAAAGTCTCCATCTGGAAGACTCTCTTAGAATATCATTAAAGCTTAACTGCAGTTGCTAACCCGCCTACCAATTATGGCAAATCACCCATAAGGGGAAGGCCTTTGTTCAGTAGTGGGCAGTTAATGGCTGATATGATGATCCTGAAGGTTACTTCCAGCAAAAAATTAATAAACAAGTCGGCACATAAATTTCTAAGATGTCTACGTATAAAACTAAAATTGGCATTGAACATTGAATAATAAATCACTCGTTTTTTTTTAAATTAGCTAACAATAATAAAAAAAAATACGGTCAAAAATCCTACGAAAATGGAAGAGAATCAATTCTGTACGAATCTGTTATTTCTTATTTTACTTAATCGCTTAAATATACGTATAGAAAATAAAATCAATAATTTATCACATAGTGTCCACAACATAAGTCCTAAATCATCGTTTGATCTATATAATTTTTTTTTCCAAAAGTTCTTTATTTATCATAAGTGATTACAAATATAACAAATTCCAGTGTACGTAAGCCTAGAATTGACAATTAGCTATAAATCGTTTGGCGAGTAATATATACTGCTTCAAACATTTAAAATAGAGATACAAGTATCTATAATTCTACACAGCATAAAAACTTACATTACATGATAAATGATCTATATTCATTAATGTATTAAAATTTAATCATATTTTTTATGGACGCTACATGCATCCATGTAATACTTGTTGCACGTAACTATAAATATTTAATAATCCTGTATTAATTATTAATAGGCTACATTTTTATAATTTTAAAAATATAAAATTGTTACTTTTTATTATTCAATTACGGTTGAAGGCTACAGATTTGAATGATATGAATTATTTTAATCGACTGATAATAATGAAATATCAATAAAAATAAATAAAAATTGAAAACAATAACACCTAACGCAAAATAACATCTAGTTTAGTAAAATATTTATGAATTTTTTTATACAAATAGAAAACTTTCAATATTTTTGTTCTCATGAGCAGAACCGCAGCTTATTTATTGTTATAATTTCAAATATCGAATTCTGATATTATAAAATTTTAGAAAAAAATCTTGTGTTCCCCCAAATTTAGAATTCATGGCAAACCTAATGAAATACAAGGAGCAAGATCGTATCGTGCATACAAATAGTTACACATGTGACGACAAGATGGCGCTACTTGTATGTTTTATAGCTCCACGCACAAATTGCTTGCTAAGCAGCTTTTATATAGCTTGTATAGAAAATAAAAATGATACTTTGTTTTATTCGAAACAACATATTAAACTTGAAAGTGAAATAAATAATAGGTGCTTGTTTTTATTGAGAAGTTTGATATTGGAATGATTTCTTCATAAAAATTTGAATCGAACTAGCTTATATGCCAGTAACTTTGTTTATAATATTATTTTTATTAAAATATGTATGTATTATTAATTCCAGGCAAACATTTCTTTTTTTTCTGTCGCTTTGAAATTTTTTCACGAATTTCTTACGAATATAGCTAGTTAATAAATGAACGTGAAAAAAATATTAAATAAGTTTTAGATAGTTCGACCTGACGACCGCCATGTTTATTTTTTGTGATCTTTTATCGCCAACTAGGGATGGGACCACTGACCTGCTTCATTCTCACCTATTTTTTTTTTATAACACAAAGAGCAAACGAGCATGCGGCTCACCTGATAGT